TGTGTACATATCCACATCGTTTTATATACATATGTACATATTCAAATATGTACATATATTCATACTCTTATGCTTAAGAAGTATTATATAAAAAATGGACCTCGGCATTTTAACTGATAAGCAACACCATCGCTTGGCAAGGAAAGGCCAAGCGGTTGAGGAAAAGAGCAGCGAAGAAATGATATTGTTTTTAACGGGTGAAAGGAGTAGGTGCATGCATTTGGTACCTACATATGTATATATGTGTGTATGTATTGGCTCTGTATAATAAATATAATAATAATAATATACATACATACATAAATATAATTTGTTTATACATTTATAATCACTTTTATATGGTTTTTATAATTACTTACATATACACGTACATATGTATATGTACGTTCATAGTATACTGTATATTGTATATACATTTATGCATAACGGTCCACTGCTTGAGGACGTGCCAGGGCGGTACAAAGGTTGCATTTTATCGAATTTAATGTACATACTTACATATAGTGATTTTTATTCAGAAATTACGGCGGCAATTTATTGGTAAACCCCAATGACTTCTCGGAAATGATGAAAAATGTTATTTATAAAACGGTAGCGGTAGATACTCATGTATGTACATACATACATACGTGCAATCAAAACTGTTTTCACACTTGCTTGATTGCCGATAAAGAATCTTCGATGCCAAATTGGAATGAATATTTCTATTATGGAATTTGATATACTCATGTATTTAAGTATGTATGTATGTATGTACATGCACGTATCACCTAAAACTAAGAGAAATAGATATGTATATGTACATATACATGTATGTATGTATATATGTAAATGACTGGGATAACATGAAAAGTTGAAATCCGGCTGTCTATCTGTCCGTCCGTCCGTGCAAGCTGTCACTTGAGGAAAATTGAGATACATCGATGAAACTTTGTATTGTATGTGGGTTCCTTAGTACAAAAAAATTTCAAGTTTCACTTTCCAGTAGACGAATTATTATTCCATTAAAGAATGCCACCTTGCCACCGAAAATTGTCGAAATCGGAGGAAAACTGTTCAAACCCCTAAATACTGAATATGGGATCCCAGTGTTCAATGTGTGAGATATACAGTGAAACTTCGATAAGTCGTAACCTCGATAAGCGAAAAACCTTGATATTTCTTAGTATTTCCTCGGTCCCTAGAAAAATTGGCGAAAAATGCATGTATTTCGTCCATTTGATAACTCGTATTTTTCTTGAGACAAAAATTGAAAAATGTCTATCAAAAGCCTCTACAACTCGTATTTTTTATGATATAGTGTATGATTGCACCGCCCACATTGCAATGGAACCTTTCAGTTTTATAACCACTCGACAAAGGCATAATCAAAAGTTTCAAAACATTGTACCGAAAAGAAATTGTTGTTAAACTGCTTGAAAGCATCGAGGAAAAAAAGGATTATTCCATTTCGACAAATATCAGTAAATCAACTATTAAAAACTGTTTTCGAGCTTGCGGTTTTGTTAAGGATCAAAATGTAGTCGTAATCAGCGAAGATGTACTTCACATAGCAGAGTGGGCTCGTGTTCCACAAAATGCAGAAACACGTGTAAACTTTGATGACTACATCATGTTGATGATGAGTTGGTGATTACTGGAAGCCTCAATGATGATGAAATTCTGGGTTTCGAAAACATCGACGATGAAAGCGGTGAAACATTTGAAATTCCCTCAGTTTCCACAAAGGTTGCGAAAGCTTCAATTGAAAATTTGCGTCTTTTTTTCATGGCATCAAATGTTGAAGACACTATTTTTAATGACATTGTAAACATTGATAATGCCATAGATAAAATACGCCAAAATAATGTCCGTCAAAAACATATTACGGATTTCTTTTAAAATGAACACTTTTCTTAATTTTTTTGTACAATTWTTCAAAATACATACATACATATATTGATTGAATAACATATGCACTTTATATTTTAAAATTTAAATATGTACAATCATTTCTTGTTTTTTATGTAAAATTAAAAAATAAAGAAATAAACTCTATAGTTCGTATATTCTGTATGTTGGCTCTATAAGTTGTATAACTTAATAACTTGAAAAACTCCATAACTCGTATTTAAATTGTGGTCCCTTGCAAATACGAGTTATCGAAGTTTCACTGTACAATGAAAATTCAGACAGAATCTTTTTCTGAAAATAATACTTCTGTGTATCAAAAATGGCTTGAATTGAGTCCCCATACACATATGTATACATACATCCATATGTATGTACTTACCTAATATAAATATTTTAGAACTTCCAGGTGACTCTATGCTGGTTACACATATCGGCCAATATTTCAGTTATCTCATTAAAAATTATAGAACATGTTTTACTCATAACTGTCAATGAAATTCCAAATATAGCACCATATGGTAAAATAGCAAATAAGCCAATTATTTTAGTTATAATTACGTTAAATAATGACGTAACGTTAACATGGCGTACAATAACGTGATGATAGAGCGTTTCTCATTAGCATTTTCTGTTGTCGTAACATTATGCTGATAACAGGCACTAAGAGAGAATTTTAACATAGAAGGGCGATGATGTTCGCCGGATACGGATTTTACGATAACGTAAGTAGCGTAATTAGGTAATGTTTCTTTTCGAATTGTTTAGATTTAATCAAAACACCGAGAAATTTTTATAAATGTGTTAGTGGTAGAATTAAAATTTCATCTTCAAATTATTAAAACCTGGCGTTTTAGAACAAATATTAATTGGAAGTCGAAGTGAACTTTATGAATCTTACAATAACCTCTTTATACAAATATTGAGTATAATTGTGTAATTTCATATTCTAGTTCGTATGACGATTGATTCACATTGACCCCAAATCGGCAATGTTTATTAGAATATTACCAAATAATAAATAATTGGAAATTTGAGTCAAGTACATACATACATACATATGTATGTTTTTATTTATTTAATTGTTGCTCGCTTTTAATTTTAATTTTTTAATTCCCCTTGATACCAACAGAACATTAATAAAAGTTGAATATAAGATTAAGCTTTCAGATTAAATTAAGATAATTTTTTATATTAAAAATTTTTACCTTCAATCGTATTCGCTTTTTCGCCTTACTTTCTATGAGTTTTACTGATTTAAGGGTACGATTACGATTCTTTCGGCGCCGCGGTTTGATGGTACGGATGGATAGAGGAGGTCCTCAGGATTAAAAAATGTTTAAAGTTCCACAATTTATTTTGTTTTGTTTTTCTTTACATGTCATGACAAATACCAGTGTTGTCACGTATTGTGTTTTGAAAAACCTATTACACAATTTTCTGTTTAACATACATATATAGAGAAAATGGTTTTTGTATCCTATTTTATTTGATAAATAAAGATAAAAAATAATATTCCTTTGTGTCGAATTACTTTATGCAATGGCGATGGCCGCCGCGCTTAAAAAAAATAAGCCTGGTCGGTCCAAGACCGGGGTGATCATAGTTCTTTTGTGTCGAACTACTTTCAGGACACAAAGTATATAACCCTGCTATTTGTCATAAATATAAATACACAAATCTCTTGAAACTTTGAATGTGCAAAATAGTTTTTAAAGTATATTTATTTTCTTAAGAAATATAAAATTAGTGTATATTTTTGATATATCGAAAGTGTGCAGTGTAATTAAATAAATATTAATTAAAAAATGTGTGAAAAGTGGGTTAAAGATAGTGAAATAACGAGCATTGTTTTTACAAATTTTTAAACTTTAAAGTGAGATATCTCGAAAACTATGAGTCTGAGGACAGTATTTGTGCAGACATTTTTTAATCCTGAGGACCTCCGTACCCCATCCGTACCATCAAATCGCGGCGCCGAAAGAATCGTAATATTGCCGATTTAAGAAATGGCTTCAATTACTTTTTGTAAATAAAATATATTTTTTTTTTTTTGATTTTTAACATAAGCTCAGTAAATAACATCAAAATTCTAAGTTAAAAACTTGAAATCAGCCTTGTAATAACTATGTATGTTAATTCTAGCAGTTCGTGTCTGAACATGTTCTCCCGCTCTGTAAAATAGACGAGTGTCTACAAATAAACGAATGTGAGATGCCGGAGAGCCGCACACCAACAAAACTACTTTTTTTCTTTTTCTTTACAAGCAGAGAATAAGCAAAAAAGCAACAAAACCATACAAAAATTTATATGGCAAGCGTACCGTTATCGCAGCAGCAAAAACAACACCACAAACGCCAACACAACTAACCCCAACACCAGCACCTTTCCACCACCACACCAAACATAGCGAATATTACGCACCTTATGGCAGAAGAGCGCCGCCGCCCTCTCGGAAGGACCGAAGTGAAAAAAAACTAAAAGCATCATAAAATGAAGCCAGCAGCGCAGCCAACGGCACAATCAACAAAAATACACATCAACGCTACGAATTGGATTTGTACGATAGTATTTGTGTATGTATGTACACATGTGTGCATCGTATATAACTGTGAATTACATACGCACTACGGTGACAGCAAAGGTAGCCGAAGATTTTGGGTTCTGCAGAGTATACGCCCGTGTTTTCTTCTGTTCATTGCTGAGCAAATAGAAAGAGTACAGGGTAAATTTGTTCTTATTTGCTGATCGGACACTGAGCACACGGCAGCCGAAACTTAACAGAGCGGCGCATGGTGCTGTTGTTGGATTGGTGCTAATGGCTACAGTGGGTAGTTCTCATGTGCGCTATCGCTACTGTTAAAACCCATCCCTCCTGGTTCCAATTTGGTACAGCTCTGCGACTCGCACACATTCACACACAAGCATGCCAAGCGGTGGTAGCGTCTTCGCCAACGCCGCTGCCAACTGGGACGAAGCCGTTGACGGCACACACAAGCCGAGTGCCGACTGCATCCGTCAGCAGCCACGCAGCACGGCAGAACGGCAACATGCTTGCGGAACAGCCACACAAAAGTCATCACAAAATATTGTAGTAGCGACCAGAACGTCGCGCGGTCAACACATACGTTGTTCCAAGAAATTATTTAATTCAAATTCAGTTGAAAGCAAATTGAAACCTTGGATTTCACTATTTGCCAGATAAAGTGTTGAAATAATAACAAAGCCGAATCGGAAAATATTGTATACCCTTCACATATGGCTATACGAAAAAATTGTTCAGTAAGAATAAACAGTGAATACAACAGTAAATAAGTGGCCAAGGTGTATATTGCTGAAGGTTCGCATAAATACAAAACAAAAAAAACGTTGAAAAAGCAAACTGAAAACGCGTGTTTAAAGAAGTTAAAAAACGTATTTTCTCGCGTGAAAAAAGTTGAAGTGCCACACTCGTAGCTGCACTCAAGCAACCGGTTGCTTTGCCGCTGCTAAATAACGAAAACATTGATGTGAGCCTAAGAAATTACTAACTAAAAGTTTCGTAAATAAATTAATTAGCTAAAGCAAGTGCAAACATTATTTAGATCTAAGTGTGAGCAACAAAATTAGTAGTTGCTTTAGCTGCTTATCGCGCCGCCATTTTCCAATGAAAATCGAGACCTCAACCAGCAGCAAACTTCTAAGCGTAAAATTTACAAAATCGAAATTCTCGTTGGTAAATAAAAATAGTAACTAAATAAATATTACTAAGTGCAATAATGCTCTAACACGGTCAAAAATAAAGTGTGATTGCCGCCGCTCTTGCTAATACAACTTAGCAAGGAATAAGCACAAAAGTCCGCGTGCAAACAAAGAAATCTCATTCCAATGTTGTCTTGTCTGGTGCCGTCGTCATCACGTTTTGGCCAAGAGGATAATATAATAAACCAAAGTATGCCATCATCACCAGCGTTCGCCGTGCAATGTAAGTAAAGAGAATTGCTTAGACAGCTACTTCTTAGGCGAAAACTTGCTATTCGATTTTTAGTTTTTTTAGAGTGTACTGAGTTGTTAACTATTATCAACAATTTGTTCTTATAACAAATCGCGTAGACACGAAAAACAGATTTCTGATATTGAAAGATCAGACAAAGGTTGACAAACAGAAAACTCCCAATATTTCTTGGATCTGCTTGGTAAAGCCTAACAATAAGTATTCAAATCTTAAATCTGTTTACAACTAAAGAATCTAAAGAATGTGGTTGAGCTGTTTTGGTAGAACGTTGCTCTCTAGTCGGCTGGTAGACCACTTCTTTTATATCGAGTTTGATTGCAGGAATTTTGAAAGGCATTAGTCAATGATTTCGGATGTTCGCGAAGTCTAGAAATATATCTAATTCTGCTCTCCTCTATCTCCTTCTTTGTCATCAATATCAAGATCTTTAAGAATGTTTTCATTACGCATGTATCATGTTGGTGATTGTTCTAAGCATTTTAGATTGAAACTTTTGCATTATATCAAGGTTGGCTGCATAGGTCGTACTCCATAGTTAATTTCATTGTAGAACAGGACTTTGTTGTCTAGGCTCAGTTTAGAATTTTCGTTTAAAAGCCAATTTAAATTTGCTGCTTCATGCAAGTTATTTTAGTCGCTATATGTTTTCGCCTCCGTGAGCCTCCGATCCAGGTGAGTCCCAGAGTAAGTCACTTCATTCGCTTGGGGTACTAGGACATTGGTTATTTTAACTGCTCAACACGTTTCTGGGCCAAATGTATTTTTGTTTCATTATTATTATTATTTTCATCAATTTGCTTTCCACTTGTGGCATCTAATTAGCCAGTGACTCTAAATAACTCGCTTGACTTCGCAATCACAGCTTGTTATTCAGTTTTCATACCTAAACTTTGTTCATTTAGGTCAAACACGGCACMAGCATGCATTCATTATTCACTTCATATTATTACATATGTAACTATTTCATATTTTCTGCGGTGAATTTTTCCTGCTTTCTTCCGGTTATTTTAACTGAGTAATAAATATTATTGTCAAGCTTTTGCTAAATATGCACATTTTATGTTACTTTCTTAACTTTTATTTATTTTTTCTAAACCCTGTTATCAAAGCACTTTTTAGCATTTATATTGTACTTTATATAACGAAAGCTGCAGCGCTACATTTGCGTCGACAATCAAATGGTCTATCACTTTAAGTAGTGATTTTTTCTTCGCTAATTTTGACGTAAGCATTCATTAGCATTTGCCGACAGCCGATTCATTCATAATTCTCAGGAACCATTAAATCAATTTTATACATCCATACATGCATGTATATATACTAAATATTTATTATTATTTATTTATTTCTAATGCATTTTATTGCAAATATTTTATCAGCTATTTCTTATATATTTTATATATTTTTGTTAGTGTGCTTCTGTTGCTTCTGTTGCTTATGAAAATTCCCCCCATTGCTTGCTTATCAGATTTACTTACTCAGCATAAGTAAGGTACTAAGTGTGAGTTCTTTTTCAGTTAACCCATTTCCTGTCAAGAAAGCTAATCAAATTATTCAATGGTGAATTTCTTACGACACTAAAACGGATTATTAACAGTTTCATTCAAAATAAGAGTTTAGTACAATTCAGTCTTCATTGAAAAAGGCAAGCCTTCAAGTTAGCCAGTTGCTCGGTAAGAAAGACACTATTCGATTCGCTGCTATATCGCTGTATGAAATATTAAATTGAAAATATTCATTCAGAAATCTCCCATATTCTAACATATAAAGAATTTCAGAATTACTGACTACTTAAATTTAAATCGTCTGTATTTTTTCTCTTCATTTGTTATAGTCACCACTATAAAATACAAACTACCGAATAACGACTAACGAATTAACAGAGCTGGCCTCGACACCCCTATGATGTAACTAATTATACTTCTCAAGTGAATTAATCGGTTCCTTAATCTTTGTATACATTTTTTTAATTATTGTAAAAAAAACACCTAAGCATATTTATATAATTGCATATAAACAAATATATTTATGTACTTTGTAAACTTTTGAGCTCAGCGCCCAAATAGTTAGCACTGTAGGCATTAGTCATCAGTGATTCCTAATAATTCGGCCAATCGCTGGCGGCTCAAATTAACAAAAATAAAAGCACGTCGCTTTTGTTAATTATATACTTAGATACTCATATGCATATTATAAACATGCATACATACATACATACATACTTACGTATGTTTTTTCACGATCACCACTGCCCGATGTGTGGTCCTTAAAGCCTCAAATATACAAAGACTCCAAGGGGCCGATCTGCATACTACATTTAAAACCTACACAACCCTACATTACATACAAAATAACCCAAATCCCATTCAATATATATGTATGTATGTACATGTACATATGTGTGTGTTTGATTGCTTATACGAAAAATTCACCTTAAACCGTAGGAGAAACGTAGCACAAACACACAAATTCACCGTCTGAACAGCAGGCATCAAATTACCGTTCGCAAAAAGACGCGCTGTTCCGTACGTTGAGGTAAACAACAACAAAAAACCAGGAACAACAAAGGAAAGAGTTTGAGTTTGAGCCAAGCACGCTTTTGTCAACACCGCCTGCACATAAAACCGAGTACTCTAAAGTGTTCCACACACACACAAACACTCCCATGCGAAGAAGTTCGTATCTTTAGGTCGCATACAATGTTACCTCAATGCGATAACTCTCGAAAAAAGTAGAAATAATAATAATAAACACCTTAAATGCTGCTTCAACAAAATTATCAGCCGAGTAAGGGCACATCTCACCATGAGCAGCGCCGAAAACAATAATTGGAAAACACTTTATTTGTAAACAAAAGATCATTGAATTTATAAACAATTATTTTTTGTTTGGCATGGTTGTTGGTTGTTGTTGGCGGGTCTTTCAACTCGTTCTCGGTAATGTAAAATATACCCCTTGCAAGCAGATTTGTTTACACTGCAGCCAAGTATGATACGGATGTCTGTTTGTAGGCGAAACTGTCGTTTTCTTTATTGGAAAACACAAAGGTTGCTTATGTGAATCTGAATGATCGACACAAGGTGGTAGTCACAGCTGAATAGGGGTGTTGAAATGTATGGAAAAAGGTGTTGTTAAATGAGAGTTTCTATTATAATTTATAAAGTGGTTACAATTTCAAATACTCTGATCTTATTATTTTATATTATTTATTATTTGGTAATAATTTTTTTTTTTTTTTAAATCTGTTATTTTGGTTAAAAATGTTGTAATTTATAATTGTGCTCCTTGTTTTTGCCTTCGACGTATTTTTAAACAAATTTGGTGAAAATATTTCTGAATTTTTCAAAACAGATTTTATATGAATCTGTGGTTTAACGGAAAAATCTCACTACGAATGCAGAATTTTATTTTATTATTAAAAAAATTATTTTTTAATTGGTCAGCATATAGTAGATTTGTTTATTTGAATATTAAAAAATGACAAATATATAAATTTTTATTTTAACCGTTTCGAAAGTTAACAAAATATTGAATTAACGAAAAAGTTGTTTAAATATTATTTATCTTATTATTAAATTATTTTTAAAGGAATATGTTTACACTTTTTACATCACGTAATATGTATACATAAATATACATATGTAC